GAGAAGAAGAAGAAGAAGAAGAAGAAGAAGAAGAAGAAGAAGAAGAAGAAGAAGAAGAAGAAGAAGAAGAAGAAGAAGAAGAAGAAGAAGAAGAAGAAGAAGAAGAAGAAGAAGAAGAAGGAGAAGGAGAAGAAGAAGAAGAAGGAGAAGGAGACACCTCCATGCTCCATGTCTGGGGGTGCGTGGTGCAATACCGCCCGCCGATGTCAACCATTGGCAAATTTGCAAGCCGCGTGCGCACCTCGGTATCAGCCGCGAATACAAGGCGTGGATCATCCTTGATCTGATCAGCCAGAAAATCACGAACGCATGAGTCGAACGGCTCAACCTCGCCCATTTCCGCGAAGACGAGAAGACGAATGCGAATCGCGTCTACGTCAATGACGGGCACAGCTACGCCACGCCCGAGAACGAAGCCGTCGCGTCTTTTTTAGAGCAGTACAACACCTGCAAATTCGAAGGAGTCGAACGCCACGGCAACGACAACGACGATGAGGAGCCGTCAAGAGGAGGAGTCGGCGAAGTAGAAGGGAGCAGCAGAGGCACAGCGCCGCCATCACCACCTGAGCCAGAGATTGACGACGATGATGTGCAGGAGGTAACCCCCCATCATGACCCCCAGCAGCTGCTAGGACTTTACAATGCCACATCAACAGCACCACAAGTCATCGAACCAAAGAACCCGCGACAAGCGTTGTCGGGTCCCATTGCAAGGAGTGGCGTGAAGCAATGGATGCAGAAATCAAGGCATTTGAGTCCCGCATAACCTGGGTGCTCGTCCACTATGTCGCAATCAAAGGGAGAAGAATTCTCTCTAGAAAATGGGCCTTCCGAGTAAAGACCGCAGCAGATAGCACGGTTGAGCGCTTCAAGGCATGCAGGGTCGTACGCGGCTACGACAAGAGGCATGGCATTGACTTCAACCATACGTTTGCGCCGGTCAGCCGTCACACCTCCGTCAGAATCCCGCTCGCCATCGTCGCCGCAAGATACCTACCGGTTCGTCAAATCGTCTTAAAGAACGCGTTCCTTTACGCGTTAGTGGACGCGGTAATCCACGTGGAACAGCCGCACACATACGGTGAAGGCGACTCATGTGTGCGGAAATCCCTTTACGGGTTCGAATAGGCCTTCAGGCTCTGGCAGGAGTACCTACACAATTCTGCTCGAGATAGGCTTCAAGCAACTGCACCACGATCCCGGAATGTACCGCTGAGATTACCGTGGCGACCACATCCTACTCGCGGTCTACGTCGACGATCTGCTCTATACAAGTTCAAGCAACGAGCTGCTTGAACAATTCAAAAAGAACTTGGCGAACTGTTAGAGGGCCCTACGACAGCAAGGGCCCTCGCGACGTGCTTGACTCGGCACAAAAACGAGAACAAGACTATCACTGAAAGACACCAACGCAAGGAGTGCGCTGATGTCGTGTGACTATGGCAGCACCAACAATGTCACTGCTGGGGTGGTGCTAGCTTGAGGAAGTCGTGTCTATGCTTCTTGGGAAGTGTGTGCTAGTCTAGGGAAGTTGTGAGTAGTTCGTGGTGAGTCTAGCCATTTCTAGCTGTGCTGGGAGAAACGGCGTGCTCGGCATTGACTTCCCTGCTGAGTTGGGTTGGGAAGTTGACGAGGCGCGTTCGCTCACCCACACACCACTTTCGTGGGGTTGGGTTATTCCGCAGCGCCACGCAATGTTTGTGCAACTCTTCCGTAGCCTATATCTATCTTGTGTGTTTGGTTTTGTAATCATAGTGATATTACAATTCTACTTGGCCCAATTGCTACTTGAATTCTCACTAAGTCCTTGGAGACTAACGCTACTGAAACGCTACCGAGTTGCTGGTGCAACACCATTCACATAGCAGAAACTCTCTCGCTATCGCTACGCTCTCCATTATATTCCTTCATGTTGCAGTGAGCGTGGAACGAACACACATAGATTTCCGTCGGCGTTCGTTAATATACTCGCCTTGGCGCGCGGCGTTAGTGAAGGGCGCTCATTGATTTAAGTTGAACCTCTCTTAATTTCCCTCCAGTTACGCTCTCGGACCCAAGGATAGGGCGTTTGGTAATTGATTACCACTCGTCTGAGGACCCTTGTGAGGTGACCCCGAGACGAGGGATTAAAGGAAGGAACAATCTATCTTAATTTGTGGCACCTTATAGAAACGTCGTAGAGGATGGGTACGGAGGAGGCGGACGTTGAGGCCGGCAATATTCGCGCATTAGAGGAGGATCTCGTAGCCCGTCATTCTCGTGGTGAGCTTAGTGATATCGAGTACGAGCTCATGCAGGAGGGGTTACGCGCTCGTCGGCGTCGCGATCATCCCTCGCCAGAATGTTGAGCAAGCTGCGGGAGGAACTAGTACGTGGGATATGGCTGTTGATGAGGAGTTTGAGAGGATGGTGTCGCGTGGGGTCTTACGAGGACCAACTCGTTTTAGTACGGCTAGCGACGGCGGTGTACAGGAGCGTGTTCATCAAGCAGCGGCATCCCGAGAGCGTGCGAATGTAGGACGGCGGAGCGTTGCTGGAGGAGGAAATGCGGAGGAGTTCGATAGTGAGGCTATGCCGGGCGTTACCCCGATTGGATCGATGTCGAGGGACGAGGGAATAGCCCCAAACAATGGCTACTTCTATGCACTCTAGACAAGATCGTTGTCCCTAGGCCGTTAGAAGGACGTCACGACCTGTCGACGTGGACAGAATCGATCGAGCCGCAGCTTGAGATCGCCCAGCTAAAGCGATTCATAGATGGCACCACCCCCATTCCACCAGCGCGTGCACTTGCGCACCTCTCTCAGTTCCGCGCGATGCAGTTGCTAACGATCACCACCATTTCCCGATGCTGCTCCCCAACCGTACACATCGCCCTTAAGGCGTGCCGCTTCAAGGTAGATGCCTGCTTTCAGGCATGGCAGTTTATCATGCGCACGTATTGGCGAAGGACAACCTGTACGTAGGTCAGCTAGAGCAGGCGCTCACTAACCTCGAGATGGGAGAGCACGAGTCTGCCACGTCCTATTGCAACCGTGCGCAGCAGATCCTAGTGAACCTGAGGATGGCCGGCGTAGATAACTCACAGGCGTCGTACATTACTCACGTCGTGAAAGGGTTGCCGCAGCAGTATAACCTCAGGTGCGCAAGGAGCTGGACGAGACCACCCTCGCTAGCTACATCATCGAGGAGGAGTGTACGCTGGCTGCGGAGGGACGGAAGGACCAATTTCTCCCCCAGGCTAAACAAGTGTTTACCAAGAAGGGTAAGCCCCAATTCCAGCAAAGTTCATCCCCTTCCCCTCCCACTACGGCACAGCAGCAATAGCCTAAGCATGGGGGTAGGTTCGGTGAGGGAGGGGAGAAGTGGAAAGGGGTTAGGGATGGCCAACGCAAGGGGGGGAAAAGGAGGGTTCAAGGGGAATTGTGTGTGGGCAGCCGGGGCATATCGTTAAGTACTGTCGACAGCGGGCGGATAAGGAGGCAGACAAGGGTGGAGAGGGTTCTGGAGGCAGCAGCGCGGGTGGCAAGAGGGGTGACGGCTCTAAGGGGAGCGGGCAGTCATCATGTGCGATGGAGAAGCTCGTTGTAGAGCATTCTCCTCCCGTCATGCTGGAGCCTGAGGCCGGGGAGGGCTTACAGGCTGTTGCAGCTGCTGTGAAGGCGAACCCGAGCGTCGTGCTACTTGATAGCGGATGCTCCCACCATCTTATGGGAGATCGCTCTGCCTTTGTGGAGCTGAGCAGCGGCGGCGGTATCAAACAGGTTATCGGCTTCAACGGCGCTCCTCAGGAGGTGCAGGGGCGAGGCATAGTCGCTCTCCTAGGAGACGGGGGCATGCGTGTCTTGGTGCCGGATGTGCTGTACGTACCTGGAGTGCAGGCGAGTCTCCTTTCTGCTGGGCAGCTGCGTGATAGTGGTGTGCAGCTGCTGGATGCTGGGGACGTGACTCTGCTGCACGCGCCAGATGGGTCGCTCCTTGGTTGTGCGGAGTTCAAGGGACGTGTTCTCTGCACCAACTTCTAGCCCTGCTCGACGCAGGAGCAGGAGGGTGAAACGGTGGCCCTGCGCATTTTGGTGACGGGCGTGCGATCTAAGGTGGAAAAGTGGCATGCGCCCCTCGCGCACGTCGGTATTGCGGGTCAGTGACAGGCTTGGAGTTGGAGAAGGGGGGCAAGTCAGGCATGCCATGCGTCTCCTGTGTTGGGGGAAAAATCACCCGTCATACCTTTCCTTCTGTGGGAGAGGAGGAGGATGAGCTGCTTGGGGTGGTGCATGCTGACCTGTGTGGCCCTTTTCATGAAGCAGCTAAGGATGGCAGCCGCTACTTTTTGGTGCTGAAGGATCGCAAGACGCGGTACGCCTGGGCCTACCCTTTGGCTAAGAAGAGTGATGCACTGACGGCATTCCAGAAGTGGCTCCCGATGGCAGAGCGGCAGTGTAAGACCACGGTGAAGGCGCTGCGCGTTGATCAAGGTGGCGAGTTCCTGGGATGCTGCGACACGCTCTTCCTCGACGAGAAGGGGATCATCCACGACCTCACGTGCCCGTACACCGGAGCAGAACGGGATGGCCGAGAGGGAGATGCGCAGCATTGTGGAGGCGGTGCGAACGATGCTGTTGCACATGGGTGTGCAGCATCACTGGTGGCACCTGGCGCTGTTGCAGGCCGTCTGGGTGCGCAACCGTGTGGAGCACGCCTCGCTGTCCTCTGGTGTGCCGCCGTACGAGCTCGCCTTCCGACGCAAACCCGATGTCAGTATGGTGCGTGTTTGGGGCTGCATGCTGCAGTATATGGTGCCACAGTCGCAGCGCGGGGGGAAGCTGGCGCCTAAGGCTCGCTGGGGGTTGCACTTGGGGGTGTCAGCAGCGAGCAAGGGCTGGCACGTGCTGGACTTGGAGTCCAACCGCCTCATCACCACTGTGGAAGCCGTTTTCTATGAGACCATGTCCTTGGCAGGATGGAAGGCATGGCATCAGCAGGAGCATGGGGGGCGTCCGATGCCCTATGAGCCCCTTCCTTCACTCTTTCCAGGCACTCTTGAGGAGGAGGTGGAGGAGGAGGAAGTGGCCGCACCTCCTGCTATGCCCTATGTCCCTACCTCAATCCCCACCCCACCTCCTCCTACAGTGTACCCTCGTGTGGTACCTCCTACCGCGCCTCCTCCATCCTCACCCCCTTTGGCTTCCCCTCCTCCTCCTATCATCCCCTCTCCCCTCCCACCCTCCATCCCTCCTGCCCCTGCTCCACCCTCCTCTTCGTCTTCCACGGCGCCGCCCGTTGGTGAGGGGGGGACAGTGGTGCCGCCGTCTGTGATGATCACCGACGGGCAGCGCCTTGAGACTGAGCAGCTGCAGGACGAGAGCAGCATGGATGGAATGCAGCAGAGTGGGGGGCATGAGAAAAGGGAGCAGCAGACAGGGGAGTAGCAGATTGGGGAGCAGCAGATAAGGGAGGAGCAGATTGGGGAGCAGCAGACAGGGGAGCCGCAAACAAGGGAGCAGGAGATGTGGGGAATTAGAGATGGTGGTCGTGTGTTGGTTTCTGGGACGATCACATCACCACCGTTGCGTCGCTCCAATCGCATCACTCGTGGTGTCCCGCCAGTTAAGTATGATTGGGCAATAGTGATTGAGCCGGCGTGTTTGGATGACGAGGAGGAGGACGAGGAGTGGACGGACCTGGACCCAGATGTGGTGGCCGACCCTGGGAGGCAGTGGGATATAACTAATTTCATAGTGAATGAGGCCTTGGGCTGCTGGAAGGGCGACAAGGTGAAGGAGGCGATGGATGAGGAGATGCAGAGATTGATTGAGCAGGGGACGTGGGAGTTGGTTCCGCGTCCGCCAGGGGTGAATGTGATGAAGAACCGCTGGGTTTTGAACACCAAGTTCCGACCAGATGGGATAGTGGAGCGTGAGAAGGCGAGGCTGGTGGTGAAGGGGTTCACGCAGGTGGCAGGGGTGGCATTGAGGAGATGTACGCCCCTGTGGGAAGCTATGTGACGGCGCGTGTGCTTCTGGCGATTGCAGCTGCACTTGATTTGGACCTGATGCAGCTGGATGTGAAGAACGGGTTCCTCCATGGCGTGCTGGACCGAGACCTTTACATGGAGCAGCCGAGCTACTACGAGGATGAGACTCCTCGTGTCTGTAAGTTGGTGAAGAGTCTGTATGGGCTCAAGCAGAGCCCGATGCTATGGTATGAGGCATTGGATGGGGTGCTGCTTGGGGCTGGATGGAAGAAGAGCAAAGTGGATGAGGCTCTGTACTTCAAGAGTGATGCTGTAAGGGAGATGTGCTGGCTGCTGGAATATGTGGATGACTTGCTTGCTGCCAGCCGCAGTCAGAGCATGCTAGGGGAGCTGCGTGACCTTCTGCAGAGTGCCTTTCAGCTGCGGGAGATTAGTCTGTGGAGAAGTATCTAGGGTTGCAGCTGATTCGGGACAGGCCTACGAGGAGGCTGTAGCTGCACCAGGGGGCCTATGTGGACAAAGTCCATAGGCGCTTCTTTGACGGGGAGCAGCCGCTGCGAGTGCCTCGCACCCCTCTGTCCTCTGACCTTTAAGTGTGCAGACCTTCGAGGATGTGGGATGGCAATCTCGCCAGGAGGAGGAGTACAGGCAGAAGGTGGGATCCTTGCAGTTCGCGGCCTGTACCACCCGTCCTGACATCTCGCCTGCAGCAAGCTAGGGTCGGGCCAGACTGTGCGGAGTGATCAGCACTGGAAGGAGTTGGACCGGTGCTTGACGTACTTGGTGGGGAGCAGGGATGTGGCGCTGGAGTTTGGTGGTGGGCCAGAGTCAGCTCGTGGGCTAAGCCGATGCAGATGATGCGGGAGACAAGCAGAACAGGACTAGCACTGGTGGCTATGTCTTCGTGCTCGGAGGTGCTGCTGTCTCTTGGGCGAGCCAGAGGATTTGTTGCACCACCCTCCACTGAGTCTGAGTACGTTGCTGCTGTAGAGGCTGGGAAGGAGGCGCGCAGGCTGCGCTTCCTGCTGGCAGAATTTCAACTGCTAAGGAGTGAGGAGCCCACTACCCTACGAGCGAGCAGCCTGCTGACTACCTTACAAAGGCGTTGCATTTCCCCGCCTTCAGCCGTTGCTTCGAGGCTGTGGGGCAGGTGAGGCTCTCGAGCGAGGGGAGTGAGATCTAGGCGCTCCATGATGGGTATGGTGCCATGGCCTATCCATGGCTGGTGCGGTGCATGTTTGCACTTTGAGAGTGCTTCGTTTGTTTGCTTGTGTCCCTTTGTTTTGGTGTGTATGTGTGTATGCATGCTCTGTGATTATAAAGGAACTTGCTGTAGTATGGCAGGGGAGTGTCAGAGGGCCTTACGACAGCAAGGGCCCTCGCGACGTGCTTGACTCGGCACAAAAACGAGAACAAGACTATCACTGAAAGACACCAACGCAAGGAGTGCGCTGATGTCGTGTGACTATGGCAGCACCAACAATGTCACTGCTGGGGTGGTGCTAGCTTGAGGAAGTCGTGTCTATGCTTCTTGGGAAGTGTGTGCTAGTCTAGGGAAGTTGTGAGTAGTTCGTGGTGAGTCTAGCCATTTCTAGCTGTGCTGGGAGAAACGGCGTGCTCGGCATTGACTTCCCTGCTGGGTTGGGAAGTTGACGAGGCGCGTTCGCTCACCCACACACCACTTCCGTGGGGTTGGGTTACTCCGCAGCGCCACGCAATGTTTGTGCAACTCTCCCGTAGCCTATATCTATCTTGTGTGTTTGCTTTTGTATTCATAGTGATATTACAATTCTATTTGGCCCAATTGCTACTTGAATTCTCACTAAGTCCTTGGAGACTAACGCTATTGAAACGCTACCGAGTTGCTGGCGCAGCACCATTCACATAGCAGAAACTCTCTCGCTATCGCTACGCTCTCCATTATATTCCTTCATGGTGCTGGCGGTGCTGCGCCTCTGCTGCTTCCTCCTTCTCCGCCGACTCCTCCTCCAGGGGAGTCTTCATCGTTGTCATCGCTGCTGTGGCGATCGCCTCCTGTGAACTCGCCTCTGGTTCCCTGATCCAGAATGGCCGCGGCGGCTTCCTCTTCAGGCGTGGCGTAGCTGTGCCCGTCATTGGCGTAGACGCGGTTCACATTCGTCTGCTCGTCTTTGCGGAACTGGGCGAGGTTGAGCCGTTTGTAGAAGATGATGTCGCGCGCGTTCATGATCTTCTGGCTGAGCAGATCCAAAATGATCCACGCCTTGTATTCGCGACTGATGCCGAGGTGAATTCCCCAGCGCGCGAGGCTTGCGGATGGTTGACGTTGGCGGGCCGTACTGCACCATGCATCCCCACACGCGGAGCATGGATGTGTCGCCTTTCGTGGCTGTCCACTTCAGATGTGGACAGGTTGCCGGTGATGGCGGTGGTTGACAGCAGGTTGTGCACCCATACGGCGTGGTGCATCACGTAAATCCAATACGTCGGCGGAAGCTTTGATTGCATCAGGAGCGCGCACCTTCGTTATGAGCGTGCGATTTGTGCGCCCGGCAACACCTTGCTGCGGGTGTGCGTAAAGGAAGGATTTATGGTGCTCGATACCTTCATGCGCCAGGTAATCTTGCAGCTCCTTGTTGCGGAATTCTGCTGCGCCGTCCGACTACCAGATCTCCAGCTTCTTTCCAGATTGTCGCTGGGCGTGCGCCAGCCAGAGGCGGAAGACTTCGTACGCTCTGCTGCGCGCCTCCACGTTCACGATCCAGACGTAACATGTTCCCGCGTCGACGAAGGTGAGCGTGTACTACTCGTCGTTGGTTCTGCAATAGCCCACGACGAGGAAGTCGCTATTTACTTTGTGCAGCTTGGGGTAGCGATTGGTTCCAGGTTCCAACAGTGGGAATGGCTGATGACTCAGTGCTAATTCGAAACAGACGGTGCAGTTTGTGAGAATAAGAACGAGGAATGACTAGAATGAGAACAGTACAAGGTTTGTATAGGCAAAACCTAACAGGGCTGTGCCCCATAAGGAGTGCCCCACTACAGCCTAGAGTACAATTCTGACACACCCCCATAGGCAAAGTGGGGGACAAGCAAGAGAACAAAGCAAAGGTCAAGCTCAGGGTGGATCACGACGTCACCACGCATTTTGAGCACAAACAAAAGGCCACAAGGCCAGTTCACATGCAGAGTTATATAAAGAGGAGAACAAGTAGTAGAGTGATCACATCATAGCAAGTGTAAGCATGCAGGTGCAGGTATAGATAGATCACATTACAGGCAAAGTCAAGAGGTGAGCAAGTGAGGCCAGGTAGGCACAAGACCTAACATAGTACACAAACGCTGATGATCACGAGGCTGAAGTGCCTTGGTAAAGATATCAGCAGTGTTGGCCCGAGTGGCCACGTAAGCAAGACAAAGCTGACCACGCTGCTGCAACTCTCGAGCAAGGATGTAGCGCAGACCAATGTGCTTCGTTCTGTGCTCCAGTCTGTGCTCCTGACACAAGGCCAGCATGGCCTTGTTGTTGACGTACAGAACTGGAGGAGAACGAGGTGCCTCTCCCAAGTCGGTCAGCAGGTAGGTGAGCCAGCGTAACTCCTGTGCAGCCATGGCCCTAGCGTAGATCTCAGCCTCACAACTGGAGCTGAGAACAGAAGACGAGAGGGTAGACCGCCACGAAACAGAGCCGGAACCAAGGCTGAAGGTGTAACTATGTGACGACCGCTGCGTAGCCAAGTCGTCAACCCAAGAAGCGTCTGCGTAACCAGTGAGGACAACTCGAGCCCGTCCTCCAAGCACGAGCCCCATGCCCGACGTACTGCACAGGTAGCGCAACACCCTCTTAGCAGCATCCATGTGCTCTGGTCGGTGTCTCCCAGGAGCAACATAGCGTGCCAAGATGCTAAGAGGGTATGCCAGGTCAGGTCGAGTGCAGGTCATCAGGTACATGAGGCAGCCAACAAGCTTTGTGTACGGGCCACTCGGCTCTATGGACTCATCCAAAGGCAGAGCTGAGAGCGAGTGGCGAGTAGACAGAGGAGTGGCTTGCAGCGAGGAGTACGTGAAGCGGAAGCGCTGAAGGACCTGCTGCACCATGTGTGACCGAGTCAAGGTAATGGTGCGCCGTGCTCTGTCCCGGGTGATCTGCAAGCCAAGATAGCTGCGCAGTTCACCCAGGTCTGTGCACGTGTCTCTCTTCTGCAGCTCCGACTTCACGTGGGCCAGTCCAGCAGTGTCAGCAGTAGCAAACACCAAGTCGTCGATGTACACGAGGATGTAGAACGGCGGCAGAGTAGTGTCAGTGCGGAGAAACAGCGACGGGTCAGCAGTGGAAGGAGCAAACCCAAGAGCCGCAAGCGTAGTCCTCAGTGTGTCGTGCCACTCACGGGGCGCCTGGCGAAGACCGTAGACTGGCCGCCGGAGGCTCCACTGGGTACCAGGAGGAAACGACCCAGTGAAGCCAGGTGGGCGGCGCAGTCAGATCTCCTCGTGCAGGCTGCCCTGTAGGAAGGCTGTGCTGAAGTCAAGAGAGTGAAGCTCGTAGTCACGCTGAGCGGCGACGTGCA